CTAAAATCAAGTTATATCCAAGATTATTAGATATTATATAGAAGTATACTCCCTCCTCTGTATAAGATCTAATATCTATTCTTACTTATATAATAGAGTGGATTAGCACTTTATCACCGGAGATCCCTTGTACCAGCCTCGGGGTAATACTAGTAATTAATAGATTATTTACCTGGATAAATATCTTACTTATAATACCATAAGTTAGACACCCTAAGTTAATAAGTATATAAGCAGTTACTATAAGATCCAGAATTACTTCTACTAAAAAGAGATATATAACTATATATTTCTTTTTAAAACTTTTCTAATTCTTTCTAGTTTTATCTAGTAATTCTTATCTAAATATATAACTTTATACTAAACTTCCTCTTTTCCCGAGTCTGAGTTCTTATCCGAGATATATTATTATTCTTATTTATAAAGTACAGATATAACAGCTGCTATACTTATTAGTTATATAATAGACTTAAGAGAATATTAGTAGATAAGATATCTATTCTATCTATATCAAAGACAGTACCCTACTTCACGTCTTTTCTGTATTTTACTAGGCGTCACCCATCGGGCTCGTTTCTGGTAACTATTACTAGTTGCACAGGGGTCGTGTTTTCCTTACTATACAGCAGCTATCTGAGTGGGTTTCTACTCTATTGATTCAGGGCTCGGTTTCTAGTATGCTGGCATGGTCTTAGTATAACTTCCCTTAGATAGAAAGAATACTCTGTTTAGATCATGATTTACGTGGCGCAGTTGATTACAGTAGTCTTTATACATAGACTCTTAGGGAATCCCAACCAGCCCCTTAATAAGCCTCCAGTTTACAGTAGTATCTAGTATAGTCTTCTTTTGCTTATCCGACCAACTATATCCCCCTGCCTATAGAAGCGCTTCGTCAAAGTTATTTAGGAATTCTTCTAGTTCTATTCTTTCTTATTTTATAGTATTTACTCTATTAAGAGCTTTTTATTATATATCAGAGTCTCTAAAGACCTTATCTATTACTAGTATTAGATCTTCAAGTTATACTGTTTCAGTATTCTGGGATTTAACCTAAGAAAGTATCTGTTATACTACTCATCCACGTAGTTGACTATAGATATAGAAGACTTGTTCCAGCCTAGTAGAATAATAGTTTCTATTAATTATAAGCTTTGTATATATATTCAATTTAAATAGTTTATAATTATACTTGTCTTCTCTACTAAACAGTTCCATATCAGGGTGCTGAGGGTGAGACCTGAAATATAGTTTATATAGTTGTAATAAGAGGTTCTCTTCTTATTTACTATTAATAGTAGAGGTTATACTATGGCTCTGTAATTCATTTATTTAATCTTTGAAGACTATTTTCTGTTTTGCTATTTCTATATAGAAGCTAATTAACTCCTGTAGAAGAAGCTGTATATTATTAAGGGTAGGTGCAGATGCTACAGTCAGCTGCAGTCCTTCTAAATCTATTTGTCCTATTGTTCCAGTGGTTCTTATTCCGATTATATGCCTAGTTGGACTCCGTCTAGGACTTTTTAAGGAGCTATTTCTAATATTACAGGATGGATGGATTGTACTGATTAAAACGTGCCTTTGAATAAGAAGAAATAGCTAGAAAGCTATTTTATCTATTTGTGCGAAATTCTTTTAGGTGTGTGTAAACTAAGCTAGTGCTAGTTTAGTATATAGTATGCGAGGCCTCAGGCACTAACTGGTGCCTGAAGCTGAGCTCTATATCAGGGCCTTGGTCCCATAACAGTAGAAGGCCTGTCAACTAGGTAAGGAATCAACTACTAAAACACTATGGATTTATCTAGTAATAACAAAGATAGCCTATATCCATAAAATAGACTGATCCTTGGGGGATCAGTAGCCTCCTACAGAGGAATCAGTATCTTATAGATGTCGGGAAGATGCGGGTTTACTATTAATAACCTCACGACTAGTATATAAGGAGTATATAGCTAAACCACAAGTAATTTACTATAGCTACAGGGATTACCTATAATAATTTGCTAACTGCAGCTGCTGTTATTTTATAACAGGACAGCCCAGCTATTCTAATATAAATACTGCAGGGTTGTTTAGGGATAATATTATTATATATAATTATTCTTAAAAGCTGTTATGAGACCAAGGTCCTAATATAGAGCTCAGCTTCAGACACCAGTTGGTACCTAAGGCCTTATATACTATATACTAAACTAGCGCTAGCTTAGTATATACTCCTAAAAGAATTTTGTACAAACTAATAAAATAGCTCTTCAGCTATTTCTTCTTATTCAAAGATATATTTTGATCAGTATAATCCATCTGTCCTGTAATAAAAGCTAAGATATTTTAACTGCTTTTTATTATATTAAGAATTCAGCTTCTGCCAACTTCAGTAGTATAATAGAGAATATATATTTTATTCAGCTTAATATACTACTAGTAGTAATTTATAAACAATGCCAACATAGGGTTTGGCCCAAGGAAATTGCTCATTATTTAAAGCAACCTGCCCATAGCATCCCCCACAACCAGGCCACAGCAATCCAGAATAATATTATACAGTAGGATAATATTATACTAGATTCTGATATAGTATTATTTCCTATCCAGCTCCAATCACTAGTTCCCGGAATTCCTGTTTTTACTAATAATATACTGTGTCGTCGAGAATATAGATATAATTATATTATATAGATAGTAAGTAGCATCCGAACCTATTAAAAGAAATTCCATGGATAATTGCAAAACCTATACTGAGATTGGTTGACCCCGCGGGAGCAGATGGTTTATAAGGCTGAATTTTAGTAGTTATATAAAATAATAGATTACTAGTATTTATTTTCCAGCTGATTTAGATTATATTATATCTATATTAGTGGAGACACTAAGTTGCAGCTATTCCCCGCTGATCAGGGTGATCAGGCGGTGGATGCTGTACTGTAGGCGTAGGAGTATACCCAGGCAGTGTAGAAGCAGCAGGCCATCCAGGCTGATCAGGTGCAAGATACTAACCCGTGGCTGTGGATGACCGGGTGGACGGTGTATTTGCAGGATGTGCCGCCCGATTAGTTATTATAGAGTATAGCCACGCCTGAGGAGGAATCCCCCAATCCTGTAGAGCAGGGCGTGGCATAGATTTGGGATGCTCTAGAGTAGGTAGTCCGAAAGAGCCAGTGTATAGTATAGTACTGTGGGCAAGCCATCCGTATTGAAGCTGTGCGGTTGGAAGCCG